GCAGTGCCACTTTTGATGGGAGATGAGCATAGACTGTAGGCAAATAAGAAAAAGGTAACGGTTCGCTATGAGAGAACATGTCGCCGGTGAGACGCAAGTCCAGGAAGAACGGAATAAGGTAGAAACAATTTTTGTTTTCCTGATGAAAGAAGAGAGTCTACTCTTTCTTTTGGTGTGTTCGGTGTTTACATAGTCATAGCACAAACTATTCTGTGGCTCTTGAAAAATCAGTCAAAATGCTCAGAAAACTCTGGCAGTATGGGACTCTCTGTTCTGAAAATGGCTGCCAGTCAATGAGTTAAAGGGGTTCAGACCCCTGATCCCGTGTGTGTGTGTGTGTGTGTTCACTGTTCTTTTTTTGTGTGTAAAACGTGAGTTTGTGGTGCTCACCTTCCTCTGAAACACCAAACCAAACTCCCTCAGGTGCTGCAGGAAGGTCAGCAGGGACTCGCTCATCCCCTCCACCGAGTAGTCCTGAGACGGGCCGGAGACAGCCGTCAGAGCCCCGCCCCCTCAGAGGGGCCTCGGCCAATCAGGAGGCTCCGCAGAAACCCCCCTCTGTTTCTACTCACTCTGCCCAGGGTGGAGAAGCTGAGCTGGAACAGGAAGGACAGGATCTCCACCAGGTCCATCCCGCGGGACTGAGGACACAGAGGACAGAACACTTAAGAAGCCGATAAAACACAGGTCCCTGAACGCACCGCGCAGGACTGCATTCATTTTTTTTCAATACACGGCCCACAGAGAAGCCTGCAACGGGTCCAGATCACCCAGTTTCCTTTTCTTTCAATTGTATTTTTATTGTTATTTTCATGATTAACCCTGTAATGCCAAATGTATCATATTTGATTCATACGGTTTCTGAAATGTTTTGCGTCTGACACCTTTTGCATAATTTATTGGTAAAGACTTTGCTCAAAATCCTATTGTACACAATCAGATACACCTGATAACAGGGGGCAGAAGACTACACAAAACATAATATTGACTTATCGCATAGTAATAAATTATTAATATCAAAATGTATTTCAGTTTTTTCTTTTTATATATTTTGTTAAAAAGCCAAATAAACACTTCAAACCAAGTTTTATTCTTGGATCAGGCTTTAAAGGGTTAAACAATACACCATGGGGATGAACGGTTCTCCCTCTATCACACACACAAAAAAATAGATTAATATCATATAAAAATAACAAACATAACTCATTTGGCAAAAACCAAAAATTCTGGGGTGTGCTTCTGTTCTGCAATGGGAAAAATAAGTAAATAATTTACTGACGTATAAGGGTTGAAAATGAAGGGCATAGAAAATAAGAGAAAGAAGAAGAAGGGGAAATGGATAGTAGAGCTATACAAAGGATGGACAGATCGGAGGGATCCATCTTTCCCATCTTTTCATAAACAGATCCCTTTTTAATCTTAAAACAAAAGTAAGTCTTTCCATCTTAAAGATTTTTTAAATTATGTCAAACCGTTCGTCTACTGTAGCTCTTTCTAGTTTTAGCCTCTTCCTTGTTACAGCTTTTAGAAGCCATTATCTGAAATAATTCATTTGAGATGATCCAGTTTCAGGCCCTGACTGATCTCTTTCTGGGGAAAGTCAGTAAACCTGTCATCTAATCAGACTCGTCTTTATTCTGGTCCCAGTTCTTCTTCCTCACCAGATGTTTTCTGAGTTTTGTTCTCAGTAACCTCAGGACTCTGTGGGGGGGGGGGGGCATTACCTGAGCCGTCTTGAGGTACTGCAGAGTGAAGTACCAGAGCTGGGAGGCTGTGTCCAGCAGCAGGAACTGAAATCCGGCTGAGGTGATGTAGGGGGCCTCCCCCCCCCTCACTGACAATCACAGAAACATCACAGGAAGTCAGAGCCTGAACACAGCAAATGTTAACGGTGGTTTACACACTAGTTAGTCCCGATCCCGGCCTATCAGAGCATGTGTTAAAGTCTAAAGCTATTTACAGTGGGGGAAATAAGTATTTGACCCCTTGCAGATTTTTCAGGTTTGCCCACTTACAAAGAATGCTTATTTTTCCTCATCAGATGGTTATTAATTTCTATAAATTCATATGATGTGATTTTCTGGAATTTTCTTTGGGATTCTGTCTCTCACTGTTAGAATGTACATATGATTAAAGTTATAGATCGTTGCATTCTTTGTAAGTGGGCAAACCTGCAAAATCAGCAAGGGCTCAAATACTTATTTCCCCCACTGTATCTACTTCCTTAGTTGTCAGACTCATGTTGAACAGGGATTTACTCTGATAACAACTTAATGGTTAGGACACAGACCTGTGGGTTACAGATGCTAATGCTAATGCTAATGCTCGTGTGGGATCGGACTTAAAGACTGATGAGAGCTGGAACATTGTGTCTACTTTGTAAGGCGCTTTGGATAAAAGCGTCTAAATGCAGAAACAGAAACATAAAAGCTCCAAAAAACAGCTTTTAAGCCGAAAAACTGTTTCAAAGCCCCCCAAAACAGCTTAAAAAGCCCTCAAAAAACAGCTTTAAAAGCCCTCAAAAACAGCTTTAAAAGACCTAAAAAAAA